CACACCCTCATTTAAGTTGAAGACAGTGTTTTTTTAGTGTTTTATTACCAATTGTAAAATCTGTCATTTGGAAACCGATATTTATGTCTGAAGTAAGCAACTTATGTATTTTGACAAAACATAAATAATATTTAAGGTGACCGAACAAGTGTTTGCTTGTATATGTTGGTTATGTACTATTGAATGCTAAATAAAAGTATTATGAAATTCACAAACGAAAAAAATAAAGTTTGCATTCATAGCGAAAATTTTATTTTACGTGAGGACTTTGTTTAATTCAAAATCACTTGAACATTTTTCTTTAAATTGTTTCAATTTGTTACATTTGTTATTTTCATGTTTTGATTCAATGCTATATTTTATTGTAACTTTACTTTTACGATTTTCAGAATCGTGAAGAATGGGACAGTAGTGTGTATCCAGAGGAGTTATTTCCCAAAAAATCATTCACAGTAACAGAAATGCAAACCTTTGATCCCATTATAGACTTTAAACCAAATTCAGCTTTGTCAGCGGGAACAAACGTGTTTCTGTCAGGGTACTGGAAAAAAGGACTTCTTATAAACATAGAAACTGACGATAGTAAGGGAAGGTGTATATCGTAAAAGAGAGTGAAAACGGCAAAATACATCAAGTGTCAAAGTATTTAATTCGTCCAAATTTTATTTAGAAACTCCTTCTATGTTTTTAATCCCATGTCATTTACTTGCGTCTACTTTTTACCTTTTAATTGAATTATTTTATAAAACTATTTTTCACAATATGGTTTGTCATGTTTGTTAAAGAGATGGATACTCGAACACAGCAAAAAACAAAAACCATTGCCTGAACCCAATTCCCGTTACACCATCGCACTTAAGCGTGTTATACCAACGCACTTTAGCGTGTCATATACCATAGCACTTTAGCGTGTCATACCATCGCACTTTAGAGTGTCATCTGATCGCACTTGAAAAAGACAAACAACCATCACACTTTAGCGTCTGACACCATCGCACTTTAGCGTAGACCATCGTACTTTAGCGTGACCATCACACTTTAGAGTCCTACATATACATATAACTACTCTAAATATCAACACAACAATGTTAAATCTGCAAATTTGCGTTTATATATCTCAGTTGATACGAAATTCAAGAGCTTGCGTTTCCGATCATTTTTTTCCTTGATAGAAGGTTTCTATTGAAGCTATTAAACCAATGGTTACTGTGACAAATTGTTAAGTTAACTACAGGGAAGCTTTTAACCCAAAAGTTTTAAGTGGTGAAGTTTAAATCACACCTTCGAATGATTTAGGGACGTCATCACGATTTGGTTGATCGTTATGGAATATCTGTGCCGCAGATGATGGCGGATATGTTCCAATTGTCGTTACCAGAACCTCGTCCTCTTTTCCTCGATTGTTACATCACCGATTGAGACTTAAAACCGAACTTGTACTTATATGAGCAATACGACGGGTGTCACATGTGGAGCAGGAACTACTTACCTGTCCGAAGCTTCGTTCCCGGTTTTTGGTTTGGTTCAAGTTACTTAGTCTTGAGTATTCAGTTCTATTAAGTGTTTTGTGGACTTCTTGTTCTTTTCGGCGTTATTCGATTTGGTTTTTTTTTTTGCGATTGCGTTGTCAGTTTTTCTTCGTCTTATGGGTTTTGAATGTCCCTTGGTATATTCCGCCTCTTTTTTTTTATATATATATACATATCTTTAATGGAGATTGATAGAAAACAATAATACCAAAATATAATGTGAAAAAAGTTAATGTTCCTCTCCAAGCACGAACCCTACAGACTAAATTGAAAGTATTTTTAACAATATTATAAACTTAACCTCCCCAGTAAACCCATTTATACTATTTCTGCAAGTAATTGAATGCCAGAGAAATTGCTTTATTCCAAAATGTTTGTCTCCTGTGCTGTAGGCTCATTTTTTTCTCCGCGGTTACAAAGCTCGTTGTCGAATCAACATTATTTTGAATCTGTAGTGCACAACTACCTCAGGAATAGATTACCTTAGCTGTATTTGGCAAAACTTTTAGGAATTTTTGGTCCTCAATGCTCTTCAACTTCGCACTTTATTTGGCCTTTTTAACTGTTTTTGATTCGAGCGTCACTGATGAGTCTTTTTTATACGAAACGCGCGTCTGGCGTAAATACAAAATTTCAATCCTGGTATCTATGGTGAGTTTATCTCCTACAATAACTATCAACAGTGTCCTTAAACTATGATAACGTCATTTTATAAATTACATTGTTTCAAGCAACATGGTACGTCAATCTTTGTGAGAAAGTACAGTTGATTGGATACTTGTGACAGTTTGAGACGCCAGCATAAAATGAATCGTGCAGCGGCATATCGACGTACTACAATGCTCACTTAAGGGCATACGATACTGTTTCGATCCCACGGTGATTTTTTTACGAAAATTTACATACAAGCTATTTTTCACCTTGTCAATTCAAATATGTTGTAAAAATTATACCTTCATGTGCTAAATTTAGAGATAAATGGGGTTGAAATTTTTGACATTTACCTAAAATTTCGGTTTTTTGGACATTTCAATAAATTCTATCCTTTGGATAGACATACTTCACTTTTTTGTTTCAAAAGATAAACACATGCGGATTTTGTAAAACGATTTGGAATATCTTCTTAACAACAGTATCTTCTTAACTTGTGTAACAATTATTTGGAAATAATTCATTTTTATTAAATTTTCAAGATTTTTGAAAAAAAACTACATTTTTTGCTGTATATTTATGTCTCGTTGAAATCTCGTTCTGGAATTATTTCCAAAACATGTGATACAAGTGGAAAATATCAATGAATTTAAAAAATATTATAATCAAACTAAACTCTGTGAAAAAATTATGTATTTACAATAAGTAGTTTTTGAGTAATGAAATTTTCAAATTTTATTACCAATCAAGTCAGTCTCATTAGCCAAAATATTGGGAAATAGGTGAGGGGTACAAGAAATGATTTTACCAGAACATGTACATCCCATATCATTTTTTTCTTTTCAAATTTCTTAGATATGTATTTTTCCAATCATTTATAACAATGAAGTTGAAATAAAATGCTTTTTGTTTTAAAAAAAGAGAAAAATCCCAAATTTACAAAAATGACAGCATGGTAAATTTGACACGAAAAAGCAACAAAATTTTATAAAACTTTCTTATATTAACACCTACCTATAGTTTTTTTAAGTTAAATTTAATCAGATTGGTCCACTTCATCTTTATTGAAAGTATGAAAAAAAAATTTAATTGTGAAACTATGATTTTTTCATGATCATAGCCCAAAAATGGGTAAAAATTGATGAAAAATGGAAAAATCATCAGAATTGGGTACTTTCAAATGGCCGTAGCAAAAAAAGAAGTGCACCACCATATGATTATTTCTTCACCAATATATTTTTTACAGTCATATAAACCCTAAAATCAGGTTAAGAAAAAAAGTTTTATTCTAGAAATTTTTGGCTCCTCAGAGGTGTACATCCTTTTGAGCATTCAGTGCAATTAATATATTTTCTTTTGTAATATTGTCAAATTTAATCATTTAAAAACGCGAAAAGAAAACAATAGAAAATTATAATATCAGTTAGCGAAAGCCAATTGAATAGTTACAAATTCTCAACGAACTGAAAATTTGTGGAAGTTATTAGACTTTGCATTCTTTTTTAAAACATTAATTTTATTCAGTGCTCTTTTCGTGTTTTAATACAAATTTCAAAGTCAAGTTCTGCTCGTATAATGATTATATCGTAAATTTTCAAAAAGACTGTTCAGAAGTTTTGAAATAATCTGAAGTCGTCTTTCAATTTCATTCAGAGATAACAAACATTAATATCAACTTTTGAATTAATAGTTCTTCCTTTCGAAATTATGAACCATTTTGTTAGATACTCAATACTATGTGCAAAACAATATGAATACCAGATAATTCTAAAATTCTACAAAATTTATAGCATCTTTTTAAAATTACTCTCATTGGACGCGTAGTCTACTCAATCAACGGACCTTTCTTCTATGTTACTTCAAACAAACGCTGATCGACGGACAAACTCCTCGTTAAGCGAATGACACTGTAGTTGTCGCATACCAACTAATTTGGGAAGGCGCAAATAATTTTTGATCTTGCAGATGCAGCCTTACAAACTCCAGTTTAAACTGAGAATTTACGGAAGGATAAACGATCAGTTGGTCTGTTAAATGCACCAACTTGCATCTTTCTCTCCGTTTAAAACAGTATTTTGGATAAAAATCCCTAAGATGGATTTCATACTGCTATAATGTGTGATAAGATTTTGTGAGGAAATTCTACGTTTGCTATACCATGGGTCATTTAAACGCACTGTATAACTATAATATATCACTGAATTAATCAGAATGACATTTTTTGCAGTATTTAAAAAAAAAAGATTTTGCTATGTATCCGTGTTTAATGTCTTAATAAATCAAGGCTTGATATAGGATAATTTTCTGTATAATAGTATAAAATTGTCGACTTTTGAAGCACAAACTTCTTGTTGTTTTATATAACAGTATTGAGAAATCGAAAAACAAAAATAAGAATAGAGAGACATCATATATAAACTACTGTTATTGTAAAGTTTTATGGACAAGAGCAAGAACACATTAAATAAATGAAAATGAGTTAAGATATTAAGGAACATATTAACCTCCCAAATAACCACAAAAGAAATATATAGAAAAAGGGGGATCCTTACACAAACGCCTGTGATCAATGCCCCGTTGTCTAGAAAACTGGTGAAATTGTGAACCGAAATACCTATAGCATTTCCTAACTAAAATTAATATGTAGCTTTGTTCACGCACACCAAATGTGTAATACTTTATTTCAATACTACAAGATAGCAATTTAGGTGACATACCGCATATAACTAATTGATCACAAAACAATCGGGACATTTCGGTGATCTTCGGTCTCCCGAGAGAAACACCTGAATTGCAGTACTAAAGTTATTCATTCTATTTAGAGTAACCATCGGTGCATGAAAGCTTAACATTATACTGTTTAAAGTGTACTATACAGAATGAAGGACAGACGGTGTCGAATTGTGCTATTTTAATCATGGGAAATAATGATCAAACTTCCTAGTTCCATAAAACCGGATTTTCGGGGAAAACATGATACTGTACCTTCCAATAATCAGCATCTTTTGCTTGATACCTGGTAAGTCGACGATTTTAACAACATCAGGAATAAACTTGTCTTGTTTAATTCTTGAATATTTTAAGGAAAATAATCCGTTCATTCTCACCTGTCAGGTAAGGTTAATAATCAGACATCTTGGGACGTGATGAAATATCATAATTGATTTACCATATAAATAACAAAGCTTTAACATGTTAGTTATAATAAATAAATAATTAGCAATCAATATGTAAGAATCGATACTTTAATGGGTTGACCATGTGTGTTTTGAGGTACCCGGTCTAACAGATGGGTGTGGCAAAGTTTCCAAGCAGTATATATATATATATAAACAATTCGCTTTACAGAAACTGAATCAATAACTAACAAATCATTTAAAAAAGCACATGTGTAACTTTCAGACATATTTGACATTGATGGTTTCTTGTCTGATCGCAAAATATGCATTAAGTTGTTAATGGACCATTTATCTATTTGTCTATATGAAACATGCAAGCATTTAATATCAAAAGTCAAACATTGATTTTCAAAAAGTCTGGACTGCAAAATGACCAGGACTTATTTACGAATACATGGCATATTTCATTGAATAGGGAAAGAGGATGGCATTGTGTCTATTACTGCTAGTATATGGTCCACATTAATTTTCACCAAAGTAACAAATTAAAGGTGAATATATGCTCATTTCATCCAAATGTATTAAATCGGGCTAAATAGTTTTTTTTATAGAGGAGATATGTACACTTATAGATATAATATGTTTTGGTTTTGGTTTTGATGAGTTTGGTGGAATGATAACATTTCATTCATATCAAAAGGAGAAAACATTGAGTATCATTATATGTATATCGTAGTTTGTTTTCTCCGTAAGTGCTTTGTCAATCTCATCTACATCCATAGAAAGGATAGTTTTGTTGTTGTCTTATTTCTGTAAAAGGGCGCTTATGTTCACTGTGGTTTGTCTTATTTCTGCATAGGAAAGCTTATGTTCACATTGCTTTGTCTTATTTCTGGTAAGAAAATCTAATGTTCACGTTGCCTTATCTTAATTCATTTAAAAAAAGGTTATGTTCCCTGTGCCTCGTCTCTTATGTTCACTGCGCTTTGTCTTATTTATGTAAAGGAAATCTTGTGTTCACTGTGCTTTGTATTGTTTCTGTAAAGGCAAGCTTATGTTTCCTGGGCTTTATATTATTTCTGTGAAGGAAGAATTATGACCACTGTGCTTTGTCTTATTTCTGTAAAGGAAAGTCTATGTTCACTGTGCCTTGTCTTATTTCTGCAAAGGAAAGTCTATGTTCACTGTGCCTTGTCTTATTTCTGTAAAGGAAAGTTTATGTTCACTGTGCCTTGTACTATTTCTGTAAAGGAATGTCTATGTTCACTGTGCCATGTCTTATTTCTGCAAAGGAAAGTTTATGTTCACTGTGCCTTGTCTTATTTCTGTAAAGGAAAGTTTTTGTTCACTGTTTGGTCATATTTCTGTAAAGGAAGTTTATGTTCGCTTTGCTTTATCTTATTTCTGTAAAGGAAAGTTTATGTTCACTGCGCTTGGTCATATTTCTGTATAGGAAAGATAATGTGCTTATAAAAAGGAGATGTGGTATGATTGCCAATGAGACAACTCTCCACAATAGACCAAATGACACAGAAGTTAACAACTATAGGTCACCGTACGGTCTTCAACAATGAGCAAAGCCCATACCGCATAGTCAGCTATAAAAGGCCCCGAAATGACAAATGTAAAACAATTCAAACGAGAAAACTAACGGACTAATTTATGTACAAAATAATGAACGAAAAACAAATATGAAACACAGCAACAAACGAAATATATTTCCTATGGTCATATTTCTGTAAAGAAAGTTTATGTTGACTTTGCTTTGTCTTATTTCTGTAAAGGAAAGATAAAGTTCACTACGCTTGGTCTTATTTTTATATATTTAAGAGATTCTTAGCAAACGGTCAACTTACATCTACGTCCAGGGTCTGGAAAAGGGGGGGGGTCTCCATTCTGTATTGTTTAATATATTTCGCCATTTTGCTCTATTCTTTATTTTCTATGCCCTTTTCTCTATTCTTTGTTTTCTATGCCTATATTTTAATCTATTCTTTATTTTCTATTCCTATTTTCTCTATTGTTTATAATTCAGCACATCTTTATTCTCTATGAGTAGTTTTTTACTCATTATTCACTATTCTCTAAACCGCACACAGATCATCAGTTAGACTGTTAGGGATGTGCTTTTTCTTGTTTTCTTCGTGGATACTAAGGCTGTGGTATCGGTGGTCATCTTATTTGATAGTAGGGCCGAAGTTGCTGTTGACTTATTTACATAAATAATTGATAGGCCTTGATAAATGTGCTTTGTTTAACTACATCAATAATTGATAGGCCTTGATACATGTGCTATGTTTAACTACACAAAGAATTGATAGGCCTTGATAAATGTGCTATGTTTAACTACACAAAGGAACATCATGTTATTTCTTTGGAACTGTGCTATGTCTTATCTACTGGGCATTTGCTTTTCAATATAAATGGGAGAAAGGCTGTGTTATGTTAATTCTATCATCGCACTTTGTCAACCATAAACGTGTTAAAGAATGTTCGGCGATGATGACTGTCCTTAATTTTAACGTTAGAGTTAGTAAGGTCATGGTAATAATTCTTCTTGGTTAGGTCATGATAACTTAAGCGTTTCTTTACTTTCGTACATATAAGGGAAAGTTTATATGACATGGTTACTGTACTTATTTCATTGTGGTTACTTTGTTTTACTGGCATTATGTGCTGGTATTACGGATATCTTGAAATCTACCACTATATTAAATTTTGGGTTATGTAAACATAAGGGCACAATTAATACACGGGAAATTTTATTTCTATACGATTAAAATCCCGAATTAAATTGTTTAAAATATTTAACATATACGTGTACATATATTTCTATAGTACAAATATTTTGAAGTAATAAGTTAATCCAACCATAAAGTTTTAACTTTAATAAGGAGCAGTGTAAGAAGATGAATACTCATTTAAATATAAAATCATGATAAATACTCATTTAAATATAAAATCATGACCAATTGTAATTGAAGAACCAGGAACACGCCTCGCTTTATGTATTTTGTGTTTATTAAACATTGTAGGCAGAAAACGGTTTAGATTGGTAAATAAGCATACAATCGAATCTGACAAAGAACACCGTGTCCACTGTAACAATCACTGAATCATCATGTGAAAAAGATTAAATCTAAAATGACCCGTAGACACTTCTTCTAATTGACATAAATGACAAGGGGAATTAAGACATGAAGTACTAGGCTTAGCTATCCAGACATTAAAAAACAAAAAAAAATATCACGAAAAACAAGGGAAAACAACAAAATAATAAATGGGGAAAATGATCACAAGTTTCATTCTCGTGTATTGATAAAACTATAAAATGAGGATTCTTTTTAAATTGTAAGCAGTAGAAATGTATGCTAATATATACATAGACATGTATCTGAAAATCATCCCAACGGGTGAGGTCACAGACACAAAATCTACTTAGGGATCAAAACATTTAGTATCTGTATTTTCATTCATGTTGTTCACCATAATGTATTTGAGAATTGTGATTAGCTTTAAAATATGCCCGGGAATTGACATGCACTAGTTATCCGTAAGGTAGACCCAGACAATTTGAACCCGTATATTATACTGTAGTGATGATATCTGCGGCATAAACATTAAGACAAATCGTGCCCGTATAATTATACTGTACCGGTGATTATAACGTAGTGGTTATTTCTGAGGTATAGACAGAGACAACTCAAATCCGTATACTATTCTGATAATCTCTGGCATATAGATCAAGACAACTCAAATCCGTATACTGTTCTGATAATCTCTGGCATATAGATCAAGACAACTCGAACCCGTATACCGTTCTGTTGATGTCTGCATGGCGTATATAAGACACAAATAAATGAAACCCGCATACCGAGCGGTAGTCTCTGAGGTATATTTCCAAACAACTCGAACCCGTATACCGTAGTGATGGTATTTGAGGTATTGACCCACACATCTCTAACCCGTCTACCTTAGTGGTGATCTTTGATATATAACCCGTACAACGCGAACTCGGATACCGTAGTGGTCATTTCTTATAAATAGATCCAGAAAAATCGAACTCTTATACCGCGTTGGTAATCTCTGAGGTATAAACCCACACAACTCGAAATGAGTATGATGTATTGGTACACTGAGGTTTACACGGTCGACGACTTAAACCCGTATACCTTAGTAGTGATCTAAAGAACTGACCCAGACAATTCGAATCTGTATACAATAGTGATGATCACTGAGGTATATTTTAAGACAACTCAATCACGCTTACCGTAGCAATGATGTCTGAGGTGTAGATCCAGACAATTCAAAGTCGTATACCGGAGTGATGATCTCTCTGGTAAAGACCCAGACATGATATTTAAGGTATTAACCCAGACACTTCGAACCTGTGTAACGTAGTGAGGATATTTGAGATATTGATCTAGACACTCGAACCCGTATACTATAGTGATGTACTAGTGTAGATATTGACCAGACATTTCGAAGAAATATAACGTATAGTGGTTATCCCTGAGATATATAGACACAGACAATCTTAGTCCGTATATCGTAGTCGGTATTCTCTTAAATATAGACCCAAACAAGCCAACCATAAAAACCCTTATAACAAACGTTGTGCTCTATTTTACTTCTTTGTACTTTACTATAAAACAGACTGAAGTAAGATGATATAATGGAGATTTTCCTATTTAAAAAACCTGAAATGAAATAATATTATATACATAACCGGGTATTTAAATCTTGTGTTATTCAAATATGTTATATAAATAATAACCGAAGGTTAATGATTATTTGATACAATGGGTGTTGTTAGCATTCTGCCTCCTTTTCGGTATACAGATCTGTTTAGCAGTTCAAATAATATAGTTGATTTTCTAGACTGATGGCGATATAGAGCTTGTCAGAGTGTGCAGATAGTTGTCTATCAATGGATACTTATGGTAACGTCTACATGTCTAGTATGAATAGTTTTAAATTGCATGTTAATGTTGATATGGTAATAGGACTTACAGCTTATTAGTCCTTTGTCTAAAACTGGTTTGCTCTAAATATGACTGAATTACGAGAAGAGATTCATACACAGCAGGAAAATACACAACCTTTTGAAAACACCCTTTTATAAGAACGATCAAGCAGGTTTTTCCCGCTTTTTTTATGTTTCGCAATAATCAAGGTTACACAAATGTTATACCAAAACAGCTTTTTTGTAAGTAATTGTCAGTGAATATTATGTCAGTAAATAATATATCAGTTGTTTAGTATGATAGGGGTAAAATGGTGCTTTTTCATTTAGCTCTATCAGAAATACTTTACGTATGACAGACAAAACGAAACTTTTCCCACAGATGAATATGACAATGGTTTATTAAATAAGAACTATACAAGTTTACAATGCTTATACAAGTTTACAATCTATTATGACACTATTACATAAACTGTCAAATGTAATGTCATTCGTCTGATGTGAAATCTCAGATGTTACCTGTAATTACTACAAATCTTATAAGATACATCTATAAGTAAGAAGACCATTTGTAATATTGCACACTGCAGTAAGCTTGAACTATTTATTAGTTAGAAGGATCATGTGACTTTGAATCATACTTTTACTAGACGAACCTGATTTTTAATATTCTAGTTCTGCATTGAAATATCTTGTGATACAACAATGTAACGTTATTTGGACCCCTAGCATTGCTCCTTCTAAAAAATGCTGGAAAACCAGTTTTGAAGTGATTATTGATGACCTTAGATCGAACCCATGAGAGAGACCATGTTTATTCATAGCACAAAATGTACAAAACCCTTTTAAAATTATATTCAAAGAATATATTGGCGTGTATATGACGCCCTGGTGCGTTGAGTCTTAGAAATACACCACCTAACTACGGTGCTTTGTCTTTACGCTAATCAGCATTTCATTTGCACCAAAAAATCTTTCATTTGCGCCAATAGTATAAATAATAGACACTAAGATAGTATAGATAATAGACACTAAGATAGTATAAATAATAGACACCCAGACTAAATAATAACTTTAAAACACAGTTTTGTTTGCATCGTCTAACTACAGTCGTTGTCGTTGTGTCCATTTATCTCATTTTTTATATACGTTTTTAAATACGTTGTTGCCTGAATATTCTTCCAACGCCCATATAATTGAAAATGTTTGAATGTTTTGAATAAAACTGCTTGTTAAATTGGGCATGTAGCGATTCTATTATCTGACGGATATTCATTTATAATGTCATCTACAAAGCAGTCTTCAATCTGATAAGGCGGTAAAAACGATATCCCCCAAAAAATGTCAACTATTTACCAGTATCGCATGTCAGGAGGAATACTTGAATATGGAAATAAATGAAACATAACCTTTTTCCGCAAATGAAAGATTGGATTTTGTAAAAATTGGCGCAAATGCAATGCGCCCCCTCAGCTACGCTGCACACGTGGGCATTCAAGATACGAAAAGATAAGATATTTATTAGTGTAAAATCTAAACAATCGGATTACTACTAAATAACACAAATAAACAATAAACAATAAACAATACAAACATTTACAAAAAATATTTAATAAAAAATCTTAGTTAGTTTGATTTTTCCATTTTTTTCTTAAATGCTAGACAACATGCTTCCCCTTAAATTAGCATAAAACTTATTATATTTATAATAGTAATATAAAAAGAAGAAATGCTGTTTCCCTCTACTATATTCATTCGTTTATAAGGTTATTTTAAAAAGAAAAAAAAGGTAAAATCAACAGTTCATGCACAATTGTTAATATTGTTTCTGTAATTATACATCTCACTTATGCCATTAACAATAATTTTCAAAATGTCCTATTCTTCAGAAGAGAAAATAAATTCATTTTTTGGTCCATTACTCATTGGAATAGGACTAGGAACAATATCAGAAATTTCATTATACATTTTCATTCTAGAGTAATTGAATTGTGCACACATTATTGCGAAATGGAATTCATCTTCCACCCCTATATTACATAAGAAGCAGAATCTATTTTCTAAAGCTGTTTTATTATATCTACCACATTCAATAGCTAGCGTGCCTTTATTTATTTTTAATTTGGCATAGTTTTTTTTATAACATTTTTATCTAAATTTGATAAAAGATATTTTTCAAGTTCATACTTTACTTCAATTTTTTATATAAGTTCTTAACTTAATATGGTGGTAATCATTAATAAACTGACTCGGTGATCTCGTGGTACCGTACTCATGGGTTCAATCCCCTGCATGGTCGAACCAAAGACTTGACATTTGGCATTGTCTGCATCTCCGCCAGGCACATGCCATTTAAGAATAAGAGCGATGACTGATTGGCTCGGCGTCCTAATAACATGTCCTGGCAGGGTTACTTGTCTTCCTGTTTACTGTTTTTTTTCTGAACTAGCTTTAAAAAAATCCGGCTCATCTTGCAGGAATAGTAAATACGTTCTCCTGATACGCATTTTATATTAACTACTGGAAGTTGAACACCAATTCATTCATACATCCTAGATATTTTATTTGTATTCAAAACTTTTAAGAAAAAAGGGCAAATGTTTTTTTTTCTCCCGAAAATTAACTTAATAAACAGATTAATTATCAAATATTTATAAAGTTTTCAAAAGATTTATAATGCAAAAGTATTACTAAATTTCATGTCAATCTGCAGACTTATATGTGATGGAATGTATTATATTCTGTATTTTTATTAACTGACTACCCTCTTACAGGCACTGGTGCTCTGTCTGACACAGATGTTGGTGTGGTAGCTGCAGGTGTCATTTCCGGTTTGATACTCATTATACTTGTCGTTGGAGTTCCTATTTTAATATTTTATTTGCGGTAAGTTTTATTGATTTTTTTTCACTTTACAATTGATATCCTTTATAGAACTATAGTATAGGATTTCTAAAGTCGCTTAAAAAAATGCATTGTTTAAAGATCATTTGTACTTTTCAACTAAAAATAAGGTGATGTATTGATCACAGATACCCCCACTTGCAGATAAAACTCCTTTACGGTAAATGCCAAAACCAAAATGTTTCATAACTAATTGTTTGTTTTAAAATCTAAAAATATTCCACCAAGTGATACATTAAATCATTATCACCTACAGAAAAAAATCAGAATCTTTAGGTAAATAAGGGTAATAACTCTTTAACGGTAAATGTCAAAATCGTCATAATCGAGATTGACCTGCATTTTATGATCCATAACATTGTGTTCAAAGTTCAATAAATTTGGTCGAGTGATACTTTTTTAATTATCATCTGAATTTTTTTTTAAAGGTAAGTAAGGTGTAAAACTCTTGATCATCAAATATCAAAATTATCAAAATCAGACATTGTATTCAAATTTCAACAATTTGGTTATGTTTTATATTTTGAAAACTGTGAAAAAATAGACAAAATGTGGCAGGGGCAAACATGTTCTAGATGGCAAGATCAAACTACTGTCCATTTTGACTTTCTGCGTTTTTTGCCAAATCTTCAAAACTGTAATAATTGAAAAGACGAAAAGAAAATTTAAACAGCAAAAAATGGTCAGCAAGGCAATATTAGTAGTCTCAGTTAAAAATAAGAAGTCACCATGGCGGAAATTGTCACTGACTTTAAAAAAATGAGTTGTTGCATTTAAATCACTATTGTTTTCTCCATTTTGGTGTTATAGGCGGAAACTGTAATTGTGGATAGAGTAAAGCTGTAAACAGTTATTATGATCAGCAAACTAAGTTACATGCTTTTTTATCAGTTGTTATTGGCTTTAAACTAGCTGTCAGTAACTGCGAGTACTCTCAGATCTGTACTTAGTATCTTTTTTATGTTTAGGGATGTATAAATACCCTGCCACGCCCGGTCTGTTTTTTGTTAGATGTTTTTCTGCTTTGTATCGATCTGATGAGTTGAGCCCTTTTCAACATGTACTGTTACACCACTGTCCTAGGTTAGGAGGGGGTTGGCGCCTTAAAACATGTTTAATCCCGCCACATTCTATATGTGCCTGTCCCAAGTCAGGAGCCTGTAATTGAGTGGTTTTCGTTTATTATTGCTGTTTCGGTTGCCTTTAACTGCTTACATCCACTTCATTTTAACTATGATGGTTAGTTGTCTCATTGGCAATCATACCACATCTCCTTATTTTTATAATATCTATAATAAGGCAACATGACTCTATAATAAGTTAACATGACCGAAATCATTATCCAACTCCTAATTGAAATTATTTCCTTATGTTGACAATTTTTACCAATTTTTTGCATTTGTTTTGCGGAAACTATAGTATAAGGAACAAAACTGTAATCAGCAAAAAATATCAGAAAAATAAGATAAACATATATATATATATATATATATATATATGCTAGCATGGCCAAAATCTGTATTCGTCTCCCTAGAGAAGAAGCACGGTAGGAGTTATTTTCCTGCAATTACGTTTTAACTCAATTATGCATTTTCAGTGAAAAATTAGTAGATAGAGGGAAACTGTAAATAGCAAAAATCATCAAAAAAAAACTCTGCTAATTGACAAAATGGCCGAAATCGTCAGACTACTTCTCACAGGAGTTACTGAAATGACAATTTTTACCAATGTTTTGCGTTTTTGATATTATTTTAATAACTATAAACTTTAAATCGCAATAATGACCAGCAAGAAAAAAATCAACACTTTGCAACGTTAATTCCCGTAGATAAAGATATTTCACCCATTGTTTGCATTTTTGGCTAAATATAGATAGAAACTTTGAATGGCAAAAATTATCAACAAGACAAGATCTACTAATAATTCAACATGGCCGACATCATCATTCGACTCTGTATATGAGTTATTGCCATTCAATAACGATTCTGATCCATTTTTGGCGTTTTTTTAGACTAAAGTAGATTAGGAAAAAACTGTAAACAGTACCAATAAACAACAGTAAGATCTACAAACCAGACAGCATTGCTAAAATTGTCAGTCAACTTCTTATGAATCAGTTAAAAAATCCAACCGACACGAGTTCTATTGAGGAACCTATAAAGGGTACATGTTCTAACGCTTAATAATGGTCACACCTAAACTTCAAATCTTTTAAATACGATTGAAATTGTCATCAACTTTTTACGGTTGTTGCCCTCTAAATCAGTTTAACACTTTTATTATTTAATTTTTGGGTAAAGATTGCATGAAATGCAATCAAAACCCTGTGGATTTGACTTGATATCTATATCTTCCAAGGTTTATCACTACCTTTGATAGTTTAAACAAAATAGTGCAGTGAAGTGATAATTATTTAGATCATATCCAGTTAATGTCCTGCAATTTATTGATGATATGTTATACTTTGATATTTAAGTTACAGTATAATGTGTATTTAAATAACCATACTTTTCAAGAAATTTTTTTTTATTAAAGATAACATAAATAATGTATGGTGTACGAATCTGTTGTCAAAATAGGTTCAACTACAAATGTACAATTATGAACAAAGGAAGACAACTCAAACTCACATTTTTAATTTGCCTAGAAAAAATACAATTCAAAGTTTATTATTCAAAAATTCACAAAATTGCAAAACAAAAGCAATCTTTACCCTTCAGTGCTCACAAGCACATTGATTGATAACTATCATTGCTAGACAAAACCTCTGCCCATGCAGCAGACTATAATTTGGCCCGAACTAGTTCCCAATCCACACAAATACTCGTGTTGCATTGTATCAGCTTTATGGAAAAATGCTAGGTGGCGATGCAGGCTTTCAAGTTTTTTTGGAATTAGATAGAGGATATAGTCTATAAAGTCAAAGTTTTTGTCTCGCCTTGACGGAGTCAAAGAGCGAGACATAGGTATGCTGTTTCCGGCGTCGGCGGCGGCGGTGTCAACAATGTATGAGTTTGTGATTAGGTCTAGTTTATGGTGAACCACAAGTGGTAGGTCAATGATATTTGGTATGCAGTTGTATTAGCATTAGCACATCTCATTTCCATGGAGATTATTTGGCCCTGCCCCCTCAGTCATGGTCTATTGACTTTGAAACTTTTGCTTAGTTTACATGTATTAGTTTGTGATTAGGTCAGTTTATGGGGAACCACTAGTGGTAGGTCAATGCTATTTGGTATGCAGTTGTATAAGCATTGGCATATCTCATTTCCATGGAGATTATTTGGCTCCGCCCATTTTGTCATGGTTTATTGACTTTGAAAATGTTGCTTAGGTTACATGTATAAGTTTGTGATTAGGTCAGTTCAAGGGGAACAATTAGTGATAGGCCAATGTTAATTGGTATTCTTCTTATATCTATTCAGTTGTATAAGCATTAGCACATCTCATTTCCATGAAGAATATTTGGCACCGCCCCCTCAGTCATGGTCTATTGACTATGAAACTTTTAATTAGTTTACATGGATTAGTTTGCGATTAGATCAGTTTAAGATGAACAGCTAATGTTAAGTCAATGATATTTGGTATGCAAATTTATTGGCATTTGCAAGTATCGTTTCCATGGAGATTATATAGCCCCGTCCCCTCATCAATTTTTCATGGTTCATTGACTTTGAAACTTTTACATAGTTTACAAGTTGTGTGTGTGTGTTTAGGTTTGTTTAAAGGGAACGACTTATAATAAGTCAATGGTATTTGGTATGCAGTTGTATTAGCATTGGCACATCATGGAGATTGTTTAGCCATGTACCTTCAGTCATGGTTCGTCGACTTTGAATATTTGCATAACTTACATCTTAAAGTATTGCTATTTTAATTTCAATATTTGCATTATCAAATTACAAAAAGGCGAGACATATCTCTGTGATAACAGTTTATTAAACACCAATAACCTTTCTTAGACCTTTATGGAGTTTCGGGAAACTTTTACATATGCACCTTCATAATGAAAAGATACCATTTAGTTAATTTTGATTTTTTTGTTGTTGCAATATTTGAGTATTTTACCATTTATTTTTAGATTGACTAATTTTTTTTGCAGTGAGCATTACATTCAAAAAGTTTTAAACTTGTATTACTATGATAAACCTTCATGGAATTTACAAAATTTTAGGCAGCAGGAAAGAAATCTTATTACAGAATTCGAAATAAAATATCATAAAATGCTTTCAGCAAGGATTTGTATAGCTTGCTTTCGGAAACAAAAAAATAAAAAAAAAAAAATGGTCTCACTAAACTTATTTTCTTGCTACATAAAAAAAAAAGGAAAAACATAAATAAAAAAAAAAAAAAAAAAACCCTGAACATTCTTTGAAAAACTAAATATATGCTGACCCACTCTTATACTAACAGCAAAGTATGGTTTTAACGTATTATTTTTACAACCGGCACGAGTTATATTGAGGAACCTACACAGGGTACATGTTCTAACGCTTAATAATGATCACTCTTAAACTTTCAAATCTTTTGAATATGATTTAGTTTAATATTTGCATCAAGTTATGATATTTTTTTAAAAGCTTCAATAAACACGAAAAGTTACAAATAAAACTACGTAAAAGTGTACTAGTTGACAGAATTTATTAATTTTTGATGAAGGTTAACTTTCGTCTTTTGAATTGTTAAAGTTGAACATTCTTATCTAACGTTTAAAGGAAAGTTTATTTTGACTTTCTACAGTTCACTTAAACGATGACTAGGAATATGTTAACTTTTTTTAACAAATTAATCTGTATACGCGTAAGACCATTGTTGTCGATTTTTAATGACAATTGCGATTACCTCAGCCAATATAACTTCAGTCATTCAGTGTCTTCCTCCAACATGAACATAATTCTACATATCCGACATAATTACCATAATTTTTAACACAACCCTGAAAATGATATAAATGCACTTTGTATCATTCGAAAGATTTATAGTCAAAATATTTGATTCACAGAAAAAAGAGAAAGAAGGCAGAACCAAAAAGAGGTCCACCAAAGGAACATTTCGCCAATGGACATGCACCGAAACCAGCTGTTAATGGCTATCCAAAGCCTTCCCCATATGTGCCTCCACCGCAACCACGTCCACAACCAAGACACGGACCAAGACATCCACCTGCAACTCATTTAGGTTCACACAGAGGTGTTCCGACAGTATTTATCACACCACATGGTTCACATGCTGGGACACCGCACGGATCACATAGGGGAACGCCACATGGGTCAGTAAGGGGACACATGAGAGGAGGATCTGCACGAATTGTATTTACACGTGGTGGTCGTCGTCCCCCAATGATGTTCCCGATGGGATCTGGAGGCCCGAGAGGTCCATATCCTTACCAAATGGGACCTAGAGGAAGAGGTGCTCCTCCTCATGGTTATCCTGGACCATATGGTTATCCAGATCCAATGATGTATCCGTACTTCTTCCCTCCTCCTCCATTCACAGTGTACGTCGATGAATCGGACGACGATGATGAGTCGGATGATGACAGAAGATCAAACAGATCAACAGTGAGGGAAAGGAAAATGAGGTACCACCGTTCATTTCTGCCTGATAGACAATCAAACATAGTCATCAAGTAAGTCGATGAAATATCTAGAAGCATATACATACTGTACATACTGGATTATATTGTAAAATATCTGCAAAATACATTACATGCTTTAAATTTCTCTTATGGTTGTGACCTGTTATTTCCCGCATAAAAAGAGTCATTTCTAGTATCGCACTGAAAGGAGTGCGATATCAACAAGTGATAACAAATGTGATCAAATGTGTTAATTTGGTTGGCTTATACGTCAAGCGATATCAATTTGCGACATTTCAATTGGCTGTTTTCACGGGTAGTGATGCCCATTGAACCGTGAAAGGTTTCATTCTGGTTTTCGCGATCATAATTATACCCAATCGTTCTAGTACAAAGTAATTGCTTGATACCAACCCTCGCTGTTTAGTCAGTCTAACAACCCTAAAGCTTCATTCATGAATTGATTTCCTTTTTGCCAAATATTTCTCAACTGTAGTCTCGAATTATTCCGCGTCTAATCTGGTGACTCGTAACAATAAAATAGGCAATGTAAAGGGAAAAAAAAATACCATAAGAGAAATAGTTTTAGGAACTCGTGAGATTTGGATATCGCTTGGTATCAACTTTTGTTGATTATTTTCAATAATAATAAGAAAAACTCGCCAAATGACTCGTTTATTATTATATTGAATTAATCATCTCAGTTGATATTAAGAGATATCCAATTCTGACTATTTATGAAACTTATGTGTAGCATGCATGTAATTAACGATACAAAAATAGAAATTTTACAGATAAGTATGTACACAGTATTTTTGTATAGACTTGTATATTTAATGTTTCTAGGTGTTTACAGACAACTGCCTCCGCACTATTTAATTCTTTTAAAAAAGTATGCACAAATTCAGATTAAATATTGAACTAACATTTTCGTTAATAAAATTCTACCTTATCTGAAGGATGGTACTATTTTTTTATAATATAACATTTTACACATTATACAACAATATATATATAGTTTTTATACTTGCTTATATTTTATGAAATCCTTTATAACGTCTCTAAATTTGACATTGCTGTTAAACATTTCGCTCAGCTTGATAAAGATGTACATTTACTGTGTTTCTATGTTAAAAACACAGTAGTATGTCAATGCAAAAAAAGGGAAAAAAAACATTGCTTAAAATTGTATTTGAGTTAACAATTTTTGTGTCACCTAATCCTGTAATTTGGAAAAATAAAATATTCTATACTACAGTACATGATTCTCTAAGGAGGAGATTGAGTTCATTTGCAGTAAAATTAAACTATTTGCGATAAAGGTCATGTTTTTTTTCTTCAAAATACCAAAAAACCATGACAAAAAAAAAAAAAAAATGCGAAAGTTATGAATAAAAACCGCCAAAAACTTTCAAATAATAGATTGTGGGGAGACCGCCACCCGAAAACTCCGCGAAGATTAATTATCGCAATAATTTGAAAAGGTACAACATTTTACAATTACTATTTCTATACGTGTAATTTTCCTACTCAGTCTCGTGCCATGGTTTTGAGACGTCACAATGTGGTTACAAAAAAGTACGATAGATAATCGGCTTTTCTGCGTAAAGTTGTTTTATATTATCAACCACTCTGCTTTTGTTTTCTTCCTTGTTTGTCTAGGGTTATTTTTTTGCGATATACCTTGAAGTTTAGCTGCAAATTCTAAAACCAGACATTATCTTCTTTTAATATTGTTTGCTGTATACTGTTAGCTTGCTTTAAACACTTTTTGCTACAACCATATATCGTTCCCTCAGTGGGATTCGAACCCAAGTTGTTGAGTTATATGATCTAATATGTGCATATCTATTGTAGTAGTAATAACAATAATAATAGTTGTAGTAGAAGTAGTAAATAGTTACTATTACTATCGAGGTGGAATCTGATTAAAAAGGCTCATTCAGTACTTCACACATTCTAAGAAATGGTTAAACGATTTTCAGGAAGATCTTTAACCCGTATGTTCATGTAAGAAAATAACTGACTTCTGTCGTTAACCATGTTGACTGGACGGACACCAAATTGAGAAACTCCACTTGTCAAGTACCTCTTACGTAACCTTTGCTCTTAATCGTAACGCAATTTTAATTGTAATGATTCAGATGATATCTAATATGAAACGCGGGTGTTTGGAGGATGGAATTTGGAGTGATTTAATTTGCTCTACAGTCCTGGAGAAGATCTTTTGACACATCATTGCTTTAGCAGTCATCTTGGATGTCTGATCGTCACTAAAGTATTCGCACTTGTTTAGACGTTGTAACAAAAGCTGCTCCAATCTTCCTTTATGAAGATAAGGAGATATGGTATGATTGCTAATGAGAAAACTATCCACCAGAGTCCAAATAATTAACGTAGATGTAAGCAATTATAGGTCACCATACGTCCTTCAACAATGAAGAAACCCCATACCGTATAGTCAGTTTTAAAACGGCCCGACTTGACAAAATATAAAACAAATTAAATTTTTTTATATAGCAAGTCCTTTTGAAAAAAATACACACTGAAGTTTAGATGAAAAAAACCCACTGAGATTAAAAACTTAACAACGCACACTGAGAATTACAAATTATGCATTGAAGTTGATTTTTTTTAATCTCAACGTGTTTTTTTTTTAATCTTAGTGTGTAAATGATTAAACATAGAATTATAGTTTTGACGAAAGTAGCTTTCATTTTTTCAGTATTACTGAAAGATAGATTCAACATTATGTTCATATCATCAGCATTTTTTAATTTGTCTTCCCTTACTTTTTTTTTTAGAGAAATAGACAGTGACGAGGAAAAGGTAAGCAAAAAATGATTTACGAATCCAAATGAAAATCAAGACATTTTGAAACTGTATGATGTCGGGGAATACAATATCTAAATTATATATTTTAAATACATACTTCCAGAAATGTTGTAATTTTACTAGTTAGCTGCACGATAGTTATATCTAGTCAAAGGAATTTCGACAAACCGCTGCGACAAGTTTATTTGGTAATCTTCCATTATTCAGTTTGTTCAGTGCTATCTATTTAATTTACATCTCATAAAACACTCAGTTAAGAACCACAATTAATTTAAGTTATGTTTTGTTTAAGTGTGGAATAACTGCACAGTGTACGTGTGCACCTTTTATCATTATTATCTTATTTTTCGTTGGGTTTTTGTGTTTCCCTTTGCATAATATGGACATTTCTTCATATAGGGAAGTTAAGTACAAATCTCTTACTATTCATATATTGGTAAAGTACGGAACTTCATATGGTACTTTATACTACGAGTATTTGATCATTTTCTATTTCAGTGTTGAACCTTATGTTTATGCCCCCCCCGCAACTAAAAGATGGAGGGGGGCATATTGTTTACCCCTGTCCGTCCGTCCGTCCGTCCGTCCGTCTGTCATTCCGTCCGTCCGTCCCATTATGGGTATATAGTTATTCCATATAACTCCTCCTACAGTTTGAATGCTAGAAAGTCTTCACTTTGCTGGCTGTTTGTACATATATTGAAGGTGTTTTCTTATCTATTCTACCATATAGTGACATATAGTGTGCATGTGGTCAGGGTTTTGATTTTTATTGATATTTGCTCTTTTGGGAGATAGTTGAACTTTGTCATTTTTTGGAGTATTTACTTGCATAAGAGGTGCATAGCGTTTCCGGATAAATCCTCCTACATGTTTAATGCTAGGAAGTTTCACTTTGCTGGCTGTTTTTACATATATTGAAGGTGTGCATGTGGTCAGGGTTTTGATTTTTATTAATATTTGCTCTTTTGGGAGATAGTTGAACTTTGTCATTTTTTGGAGTATTAACTTGCATAAGAGGTGCATAGCGTTTCCGAATAACTGCTATAGTTTGAATGCTAGGAAGTTTTCACTCTGCTGCAGTAAACCATAGACCTATGTGCTCCCATGCTCAACTTTGTGTATTTTAAAATAACACTTTGCATCTGCGGGGGCATCATTTGTGTCTCCCAAACACAATAATATCTCAAAGAAAGTCCTACATTGACTTTGTTATAATACAGTTACTTCAGAGTGGAGTGCAGGGGCTTATGATTTACATTGATATGGAGCAAAACTTCAGTTATTTAATACCAAGTCTGGTTGTGTATCTTATTTCAATATCAGAATAATCATATCGTATAAAGTTTTAAGAAAGCAAGCTCCAAGTTGTGTCAAATTATTTTTTTTGCAATGGGAAACAATTTCTAAGAAAGACAAACTGGGCCATTGCCTATTCAAAGCAAATGACAAAAGCATAATGTATTGTGGGATATCTGGCAAAATATTTTGACTTTGTAAGTACATCATAAGGGTATGTATATTGTCAAAGGGCATTGGAAATTAAGAGATTACTGTAGTATGCAATAAAAATTCTGAACAGCTTACGTGCATGCTCTTGTCATAATGTTTACATTGACTCAGGAGAGGTGTCTCCTTTACCAAAAACGTCCAAGGAAACAAAGTCGGTAATTTGAAAAAAAATGTATTTAGGCTGTCCTTTATTTCATATGTTCTTCGTAGGAAAAATTAAAATGGAAATTTTTTTTTGTATAAATTCAAGTAAAGCTTAAATAAAAAATATTCATTTTAGAAAATACAAGAAGAAGAGAATAGAAAGAAAAGAGGCAAACGACGATCTAAATCAAGAAGCCGATCGAGATCTCCCGAACAACGAACACGTGGACACACATCTCGATCAAAATCGCCCGCTCGTAGACGGTCTCGAACTCCTTCACCTGAACGATATAGAACATCGGATCACCAAGATTTATATACAGAAGTATCAAAATCAAGTTATCGCAGGAATTCTTCAGCAAGTGGAGGCGATACAGCAGCTAAAATCGATGAAATGTTTTCTTTTTCATCCGACGCAAGTGCAAAACCCGGAGACGTTATATTCCTACCACCCGGGAAACATATGGATAGGTCTCCGCGAAGACGCGAATCATTTCCACTAAGGCGAGACCCTAGTCCACCACCAAGGAGAGACCCAAGTCCGCCAACAAGACGAGATCCAAGTCCGCCACCAAGACGAGATCCAAGTCCGCCACCAAGACGAGATCCAAGTCCGCCTCCAAGGCGAGAACAAACACCACCATTACGCCGAGAACCAACGCCACCAAGACCAGAACGAAAGCCTATAAGTTCAGCTACATCTGAGTATGCGTATGCGTCGGTGATAAGACCATCTGAAGAGCCGATCGAAAAACCATCTACATCACATTCTGAGCTTGGTGTATCAATGTCAGAAAGACTTCAGAATATTGTTGACTCTGGACATACAACTGTTATTCACGACCTTGAAAAATATAAATCCGACGATACTCAGTATCCTCCTAAAGGACAAAGTCTCTCAAGAACAAGTAAACCCTACTTGTCAAACAGAGACGATTATCCGTCATCATCGAGTCGCTTATCTGCAACTGCGAAACCTGATTTATATAGAACGGATAGATATCATTCTGATGACTATAGGCGACCACCTTCTCCTCCAAATGACATTCCAAACGAGACGCCAGTTCCAACTCCACGCCATTCACTTATCAGAAGACCACAAACTCCCCCAAACGACATACCCATATCATCTCGTTCTGACAGACCATCAACTCCTCCATTTGATGGAGATGACGTAAGCAGAAGCACCTCAACACCAGCACCAGATCGGAGAGTACCACCACCTCCACCTTTACCTCCAACACAACCCAAAAACAATGATTCTAGACCAATAAATGCTCGAAATCCGACAACTTTGGGCAGTACACAGCACGTGCGAGCTGCTTTTTCTAGCCAAGTACTGGAAGAACTTAAAGAGAGACATCGAATGCCCGAAACGACTGTGGATGACGATGACGACACTGATTCCGCAAGGAATAGGGCTGTAAACTTTTCTGCTTCGCCACCCGAGATTATTCCTAGATCGCAACCTAATAGTCCCAGAGGATCTCAAAACTTAAACCCCGAGAACCCTCCAATGGAACGTGCTCCACCCCCTCCTCCGCCTCCTCCACCACCACCACCTCTACCAAAATAATCTTTTGATAGGATATCGATAGCAATTATATGTTTTTTGGCTATGACAGTTTTTTAAATAACTTAAATATATGAAATGAAAACGGAAATAGCTGCCGTTATAAAACTTTGTTCATATCTTTTCTTATAATACAAATGCAACCCGAATTGTTTTTAATGAGAAATAATATATATTTCCACATAATACATTTTAGATATTAAAGAGTCCTATTACGTAAACTAGGTACCCGATATGCCAAATAGCATTGCATGCATGTAGTGAGGAACGTTAGTTGTATATTCTCTGATGCTGCTTGTAAGTTAATGCTGTATTCATTCTTGTGGTCTAAAATATTGAACTCGACAAGACTGTTTTGATAATCCTAACATTATAGATGGCTAACCAACTAACAATGGGATTGTTCTTGGAATCTGACATTTCTGCATGAGTTAGATTGAGACACTTTATTTTGATGAGTACGAATTGCAGGGCAAAATAATATATGAATGAAACGAGAGAAGAGATGTGCGTCAGTAAGACAGCAACCCAAAGCAATAAAACATAAAAAAAACATGATCTCTGCATTACAATGTAATAGTACTTTACAAACATTCACCTTACCAAATGCAATGACGAGAATAGCTACTTGCTGAGAAGGGCAAACATATAAAGACATGCATGCACGTGTAGTGTTAGTGTTTAGTTTTACCTTTTCTATAGTTGACAATCACAACTCGCAAATACCCTTTTATAATCGAGAGCCAATTCCACGAAATTTGAAGGGAAAATCTGTGTATGATTATTTTGTTATGAATTTTATCATTGTTAGTCATATTTAATAATGACAGTATAGTAGATGGCTGTATTATTTGCTCAGACGTCAGCATAGGCTTTATTTTATTACTGTTAACCGTGTTATATACAACGTGGATGCTTTAATATCACATGATATATTATGATAAACCAAAATACCCCGGTTCTTGAGGAAAGAAAGCTTTAACGATGTATTTATTTTAATCTTATTTCTAATAAGTAACATTCAGTGTCAAACACATATTGTTCACCAGTTAAATTCAATACCAGATGAAGCATTTAAGTGAAGACAGAACTTGCTATGATAGCCTTATACACACAGGCACTTGTTTCTGTCAATGGGGGGTTTACTATCCACACTTGTAAAGAATTTCGTACAAATGTGGATAGTAAACCCCCCCCCCCCCCCCCCCCCCCATTGACAGAAACAAGTGCCTGTGCTTATACATAAGAGCGAGTGCAGTGACTGATAGCCAAATGTGGATCATATTTATATAAAGTATAGAATTTTAACGAATGAATTCTTGAAAAATTAAGAAATCAATGTCGCCATAATTTCTCACACTTATCAAACCTATTTGAATTTTTGAGGGAGGGGGCCAAACAATATAGCAGCTGTTTATCTCTTGTAGCACACATGGTGTGACTGAGTGAATAATACATTATTTGATTTGTTTTGTATCAGGTGCTTGAATATTAGCTTTCTAACATTGCTTCTTCCTGAATGAAAATATGATATGATCACAAATAGATTTAACCCCGCCACATTTTTTATGTGCCTGTCCCAAGTCAGGAGCCCGTAGTTCAGTGGTTGTCGTTGGTTCATGTCTGTCATATTTGTTTTTCGTAAATTGTTTTGTTATAAATTAGGCCGTTAGTTTTTTCATTTGAATTGCTTCATATTTTTCATGTCGGGGCCTTTTATAGCCGACTATACGGTATGGGTTTTTCTCATTGTTGAAGGCCGTACGGTTGCCTATAATTGCTTACATCCACTTCATTTGAACTTTGGTGGATAGTTGTCTCATTGGCAATCATACCACATCTCCTTATTTTTATATGAAAAGATGAATATTTGTGTTGACTTTCCTTCTGGCTGAATTTGAAAAAAAAAATCCTTTAAAAAATAACGCTTTTTGGTACTTTTTTTGCAAATTTAGTAATATATTTATAATATTTTTTTATAGATCTTTATGCAATGTTCATTTCTTTTAATAGCTTACTTGTATATATGTCATTTTAATTCACTAAGTACTTGCATTCACTTGATAAACATTTTAGTTTTGCACACCTTACTAAATAAGAGATCATCATTATCCTTGTTTGTCGGTTCCCTTTACTTTTATATATACTCATTTTATTACTGTAAACATTGAAGACGTTTTATATAAAGTATATGATATATATTTTACGGTTATATATTTGTTATATTCATTTAAAATGAATAAATATATTTTGATAATAGAGTTGTCTCTCTTATGTATGAAATAGATGTTATGTTATGTATGATTTGATTTTGATTTTTGATTTTTGGTGTTTTAACGCCACTTTTAAGCACCGCTTTTGGGCTATTTCGTGGCGGCCAGTTTTTGTTGGTGGAGGAAGCCGGAGTGCCCGGAGAAAACCACAGACCTCTGATAGGAAAACTGACACTCCTAGTCAATTAAGATTGGAGTCGAGTGCACCCGCACGAGCGGGGTTCGAACTCACAACCTCAGTGTTGAATGGCTAGTGATTACAGTAGTAACTAAGACCATTCGGCCACCGAGGCCCCTGTTATGTATGAAGAATGTTGCCGGTATTTTTCATTATTAAGAAGAGACGAGAAATCCATCAGATTAAAGATGAGAATTAGGTAAATTATGATAAGTATTAATACTAATAATATAAGATAAATACTCAAATCAAATAATGCCATGTCATTTTACAAATAACGCAACAGTCAAGGAAAATTTGACGTTCTTAATCTGAGAATGAAACATAATTGTGTTTATTATATAATGTTATTGTGATCCCTTTCGACGGAAGAATACCTAATGTTTTAGAAATGATTGTTCTCAGGGTTCTGGTTCTTTTAATACAACCTTGTCCGGGCCATAACTTTTTTTATCTTTTGACACTGCATGGCTTGTAATATTTTGCATGAAGGTGTGTTACCCGAATAATATACGACGTGTCGCATATCATCATGACCTTCAAACGACTTTGACCTCAACTGACTGAAAGATCCACACTTCAGCTCAGCATATAAAGTATGAAAAACAACAATTAAAGTACTGTAAGTGTTCAATTTTCACCATATCTGAGGAATATTGTCCATTGTTCTCTTTCCTAAATAATTTCGATAACAGATCGTATTTTTTCCTGCTTTAGAGTAGTTTGACAACAGGATGTCTTGTTCTTCTTAACTATTTACATCACGAAAATCATACTTCCTGTGTTCTTATATCCTTTCATAATTGATTTTTGTATAATCAAAAACGAAAATAGGGCAAATAACACATTTAAAGTACCACGCCTAATATGTAAATATTATCGATTATTTATCAGTCTGAACGAATATTTACGTTGCCACTTGTATTTTAAACTATTTCTAACAGTTTTGATGCTTTAATTGACGTCAGCTTATTGATTTTAAACGACTTCAATAGTTGTGTCATTAAGTTTCATATGTAAATTTAGAATATAGATTTTTTTCTTCTTTCTCTTGTTATTCCATTGAACTAGTTGCAGCAATATTGGATAATGATACTGCTTAATACTCAAAACAGACCGATACAGTCCACTGGATGTTCAATAACAATGAAAGATCCAAACGTAACAAAGCAGTGAAGACTTATAAAAAAACAGGCCGTTGGTTTTCACTTTTGATTTTTTTTCATATTTTGTCATCATTGGGCCTTTTATAGCATACTATAATATAAAGTTCTTAAGCAATGACATAGATGGAAGCAACAATATGTCACCGTAAGGGCTTCACCAACGAGGAAACCTATACCGTATAGTAGGATATAAAAGACACAAGAGATGACAAAATGTGAAAACAAATCAAACGAAAAAACTAACGAAATGATTTACGTACAAAACAAAGTAAACGAAAATCAAATTATGATAGACAGCAACCACTGAAAATTTAAATTAGTCACTATGACTATTCAGTTAGTCAAATATTAGCCGAAAGGTAGTCAACAGCATATATGACTACCCATCAAGTCATTGTGACTACCTGCACAGTCAATTGACTATGTTAGGTGGTCACAACACCACGTGGTGTAGAGTATCGGTTTTCACGCGCACTCTTTCGCGTTCCCTTTGTTCCCTAGATCGTATAGATGTAAACAAACCAGGAGGCACGAAACTGCTATTTTGTCAATTAAACCAATTGTTTAAAGTAAGTATCATGTACATTTGTTTTAATTCTAACTTACAAAAATTAAATTTGAGAAAAAGAAGTGTAACGAATGTAATATATCGGCACATTAATGACAATACAAAACAGAGGGAGATATGTATACGGGATATCAATTTTGATACACATACAACGTATTTTCGATTGAAAAGAATATTTAGCGATATCTCTTTTTCACCTGATCAAAAACTGTTAAAAATAAACACTGAAATCGATATTCACAACAATGAATTAAAAAAACCCTCAGGATAGCTGTCAAGATCCTGGTGCTTACATTACAATGCTGTGATATAACATGGGTGGCTGTCAAGATCCTGGTGCTTACATTGCAATGGTGTGGTATAAGATGGGTGGCTGTCAAGATCCTGGTGCTTACATTACAATGTTGTGTTATAAGATGAGTGGCTGACAATATCCTGGTGCTTACATTACAATGTTGTGTTATAAGATGGGTGGCTGTCAAGATCCTGGTGCTTGTATCACAATGTTGTGGTATAAGATGGGTGGCTGTCAAGATCCCGGTGCTTACATTACAATGTTGTGGTATAAGATGGGTGGATGTCAAGATCCTGGTGCTTACATTACAATGTTGTGGTATAAGATGGGTGGCTGTCAAGGTCCCCGAACTTACATTACAAAATAATGGTATAAAATGAGAGACAAAATCACTAGATCAAAGATTTTAAAATTTGTTTTTTCATTTAACTTTTAACATGACTTATATACTTGTTTATTGTTATATTTTAGCTTCTAAAATGATATAATTATATTTTTCAGCAAATGAAGACATTGCTATTTGTATGAACATAGCTGAGAGATTTTTGACCAGAGAGATTATTACACTGACACAGTTGATACCGAAAAAATATCTGAAATAAACACTTCAAATTAACAATGAGTTTATAATAAATATATTTTCTTTATTTGAATTTTTAGACTTTAATATATGTCACTGAGTAATGGTAACACATGAAAATCATGAAGATATAGGAAGGTTTTGAACATTGAGCACTTTGTGGTCCTATACGGTTTCGATGTTAGTTTTGCTGTTGTGGTATTTTTAATGATATTATATTCCAGATGTATTTGTCAATCCTATGGAAGAGAAACAACAAAAAGTAGAATAACAGAAGAATGAAACATAAAAGTACAAAACGGATAGAAACACACACAAAGTAAATTGGTGGAACAAAAAACAAAACACAAAATAAGATAACAGTCGTGACTATTCACAGTAATCATGTTGACTAAACAACATGGTCACTTTCGACTATTTCAATAAGTCATATGGACTGCATTCAATTGTCAAACTGACAAATGTGCATAGTCAATTGAACAATCCAATTCGTCATAACGAGTATAACATATGGTCATTTTGACTTCCAAACATAGTCATAATTACCACCCTACTCAGTCAAATGTGACTACCCATCTAGTCAAACGACAAAGAGCATAGTCAAAATGATTAAAGTGCATTGTCATCTAGAGGACAGTCAAAATGACCAATTAAATTGGTCAAATTGGCTAATTTATGTTTTCAGTGACCAACGACAACCACTATACTACAGGCTCCTGACTTTGGAAAAGCATATACAGAAAGTGGTGGAGTTAAACATGTTTGTGCGCGCTCAACCTTCAGCCCAACTCTGACTGTGATGTAACATCACAACATAGGAACAAACTGTAAAAATAGTTAAAAAAAGCTTGACTAATCCGATCGAAACAAAACACAAAAAAAATAAAACATTAAAAAGACTAAAAACACAAAGTACCGATCTAATACTTATAGTACTCGCAGTTTTTGGTAGCATGCTTTACCACGCCACATTCATTATGTACATTTCCAAATCCAGGATCTTGTAATCCAGTGGTTCCTGTTGGTTCCTATCTGGCATTACTGTTTTTCTTTATTGGTATTTGTATAAATGAGGACGTTGGTTTCTATTTTTAATTATTTCACAATTAGTCATCCTACGTCCTTTTATATCTTGCTATGCGTTATGGTTTTTTTTTCAATGTTGAAGGCCCTAGGGTAACCTATAATTGTTCACATCTTTGTCTTTTTATCTTTAATTGACAGTTGTCATGCCATATTCACTTATTATCACATATAATAGATATCGAAAACCAAACTCAAATACAAGACAGCTAGTTCACGAATTAAAAGTTTAAAGCAAGACAAAAACGCTATGGTTTTAACTTTCTCAGACAAAGTTGACTTTAGATGGATTTGGCTATTTTTTATGTCTATTTTGGTCATCTAGCTCTTCAATTGTTTTGGTTCTTGAACATCTTTGGCTTTCAAATATTCGGCGTTGAGCGTTCCTGATGAAGGTAAATCCAGAAAAGCTTCGGACGCATGAAATTTATAAAGTGTTGTTTTCATTTTTTCATTAGCGAATAAGGCTCGCTACATTCTAAAATGAGGAGATATGGTATGATTGCCAATAAGACAGCTATCCATTAAAGTTCAAATGAAATAGATGTAAGCAATTATAGGCAACCGCACGACCTTCAATAATGAGAAAAACCGATACCGTATAGTCGGCTATAGAAGGCCTCGACATGAAAAATGTGAAACAATTCCATTACAAAAACTAACGGCCTAATTTTTAACAAAACAATTTACGAAAAAAAATATGACGGACATGAACCAACGACAACCACTGAACTACAGGCTCTTGATTTGGGACAAGCACATAAAGAATGTGGCGGGGTTAGGCATGTTTCTGGCGCTAAACACCCCCCCCCCCCCCTCCCCTTTACCTGGGACAGAGGTGTAACAGTACAACATAAGAGCAACTATAAATCAGTTGAAAAGGGCTTAACTCATCAGATCGATACAAAGCAGAAAAAAAAACTAACAAAAACATAGACCAGATGTGGCAGGGAATTTAGAAATTCATAACAAAAAATGCACACAAAGTACAGATCTGAGAGCTTAAAACTGTTCAAAGCTAATAACAAATATTAAAAAAATCATGTACCAAAGACTAAATTCACCAATATTTTAAAGATTTAGTTAATCCACAAATCATAAATTTTCCCAGGACCT